TGTCCTTTCAAATTTAAATATGTTCAGATGCTCCGTACTATTAAAATTGGATACTGGTTCAGCAATATATTACCTATAAATTAAAAGTTTGTTAAAAATATGTCAGTGAACTATTTGTTTTCTCTCTGACCTATGAGTAACATAACAAATTTGTGTAGAGCAGATCCAATTTTGTAATGTTAGCTTTAATAAACATAAAGCAAAAATATTTTCTAAAGGTATATTTCTTTATATTTTATTTTTAAAGCAAGTTATGGGTATTTTAAGTACCTAATATAATGAATTTAACATAGTTATTTATTATTTATTTCTAGATAACTGGCTGAGCCCTTTGGATACAAATATAATTCTACACACATAATTAGATATATTATAATATAACCATTTAATATAATGATATCAGACAATATAATGTAGTCATAGCACCATACAGATAACTCACTATTAAATTAATAAATCAATAAAATCCCATGAGGTGCCCACAATAATATTCTTACCTTTAAGTTTTCGTATTCAGGTTAATATTAATTATTAATGTTTTTATAACTTACTTGAATAATTGCAATATTTATAATGTATACTTGGCCTGTAGAATTGTCTTAAAGAAAATCAAATTCTCAAAAATTTTCAATAAATTGGCTTGACTTCCTAGTTCCTTGTAGTCGTAGGTACCTACATCATATTATTATATTTCAGTTTTGAAAACCATGATATAATAGGTACAATGTGTATCGTGTATTCGTGAGAACTAAAAACAGTAACAGTAGCAGTAAATCATTAAGTTACTTTCAGCAAATATTTAAAATTTTAGAGAACTCAGACAACTACTTACTTACGTGTGTCGTGTTTGAACTATTCAACTATGAGACGCGAGTTAGACAATAGAGTATAGACCATGGCTATAGACATTACAAAATGTCTGTAAACCAAAAAGTCTAAAACTACAAACTTATCAGTTATTATTGACCTAGCTAGACATTGATAAGAATCGGTACGATGTGTTGCCTATACAAGTCCCTAACATAATACGGTAATCGGAAAAGAAGTACCTATACCGATAAAAAAAATAGTGAAAAACGTACTGACAATCTTTTTCGTGTACACTGTACAGTTCTACAGTTGTGCTTTGTAAAAAAAATACAGAAATCGTTTGACTGATGTGCATTTGGACGATTTACTGCTGTTGTCAACATCAAATACAACCGTAGGGCTGCATATAGTATGCGGTTTACCGGTGAATTTACGAATATAGTATGCGGTCTGCCGCAAATAAATAAATTATCAATTATATCATAATATTATGGTATAATTGTTGTCAAAAACGATGAATATTGTGCATTATCTTAAATAATTTTAAAAAAAATGAATAAATAAAAAATTTGTTTGTCAAAATTATTGTTGTCTATGAAAAACAAATATAATAATAATAGGTAATAATTTATAAAAAAAAAAGGTGGGCAAGTGGGTGTCGCTCTGCCGTACAGTAGGTTACAAGTCTGTAACTGTATAATGTATAGTATTAAATTTGAATTCAATGATATAATATCATTGTATAAGAAAAACGATTCTGAGCGGAGATGTTATGTCAGTCTAGGTATAAGACATATTATTATATACATATCTATGATATTAAACAAAAAATTGACCTATAATAGGTAGGTACCTATAATAAATTCCAAATTAATCATATCACAATATCCATTAGGTACTTATAACGCATTATACATCAACAAAAACCGTGATACTATCATAGATATATAAATATAATAGTACACTTTAGAAGTTTCAAGTACCCACGAATAATATTATTCAATCACAACAAAATAACTAAAATAGTTATTCTAAGTTTTTTAAATATGTAATTTCGTTCAAATTTGAATTTAAAATGTCTGTAGAAAATAACTGTGTTCATATATTTTTCATAGGCGTGCGCAGACTTTTGGTTCCGGGGGTGCACACTAAAAATTAGGGCCCACAATAATTTTGAAAACAATTATAGATATAGTCAAATGTTTTAAAGATATCAAATGTACTAAAAATATTTATTTTATTTTATTATTCATTCTACCTAATAAACATTACATAACAATATATAGATATATAATCTTATAATGATAATCGACGTTTAAAAGGAACAACATTTTTGAATTCGTCAATAATTTCATTAATGTAATTTACACTTAATTAATAATTAGGGCCCTAGTCGTTTTAGGTGAAGGGTACGGGGGTGCCCAGGCACCCCCGGCACCCATGTGCGCACGCCTATGATATTTTTTAGATTTTTGGTTACAGTATGACCTATTTATGAGAACCTTTGTTTTAAATTTGCAATCCTTAGCTATAAAAACTGAACATTTTATAATTTATTAATTACAATGATTGATAATTTTCGAGATTTCGATACATTTTGTCAAAATTTCAACTTTAAATGCTTATAAAAAAAAATTGTGTATATGTATTTTCAATGTTTTTGAACTGATATTGTAACAATATCAGGAGTCTTGTATTACATTTTTACAGTTTTTGGCCCAACAGATAAAACTTAATTGATATTTATAGAAAAAAAAACTAAAAAAAAAATTGAAAACTGAAAATGTCCGTAAACAGCTCAAAGAGAGTCAAAATTGTATGGTTCATAGAAAATGCTAATTTAAACATTCAGCGAAAATTCCATGTATCTACAGTTATTCGCTTTTGAATTAGGTACAACAAAATAAGGAAATCGCTACATGAGAAATCGAGTGAATATCCAATGTTGTAAAAATTTGAATTTCAAACGCTCATAAAAATTTAATTTGACTTTCTTATAGACGTGAGTATTTTAATTTTTTTTTTATACATCTAATTTTATAAGATTAAGTGCTCGTTATTTTTAAAAAGGTAATTACTCTTTTTATTTTCCATTTTAAGTAAATTAAATCAAATTAATTACGTTTTGTTACAATTTAAAGATAGATACCTAATATTATAAAATTCAAGTTTAAAAAAAAAAAAATTTGACACCGAATACATACAATAATAGAAATAAATATTTTATTATTATACTTAATAGTTAACAAGATATATAAAATAAATACCTACAATTTTACTATGGATAAACTATATAGATACATCATTATAGACTAAAATTAATCGTACAACGCATGATAGGTATTATGAATTTTACATAATTTTTTAAAATCTACAATGTTTTCTTACTTAACCGAAACCTATACCTAACCTATTTAATCATAAAGTGAAATCAGCCATTACAACAATTTATTATAATAATATTTTTGAATATATGACATAATGTCTCAAAACAATTTAAATATTACAATTATTTTTTTACTATGGAAGTATTATAATAAAATATAAAACCTATGTGGAAACCCTCAAAAGTGTTAATTTCCATATTTTTTGTAATAGTTGACTGTACTCATAAACATAGAAAACATGATTCTGTGTAGATGCGTTTTGTCTATGTTACGCGAGGGCCTAACACGAAACAAATATTCCCTGATATTCTCTTAATTTTATCTAACAGGACCTAATTCAGTATTTAAGTACGGAGATTAGTTTTTTAGATATGTATTACTTATGCCGGATTTCATATGTTCACAATCACTAAACATTTAACGAGTGAATAGTGAGCAAACGGTCCCTTTTAAACTTGATTTAGCGGCCCATAAATTAATACATATTTCATGGAACTCAATCGGCATTAGTATTTAGATTTTTCAATAGATAAATAATAATTATCAATATTAATATGTTTTTCTTAAAGATGTACGGTAATATTATAATATACGGTGGCGGCAAAGGCGGGCGAAACGGCAAAGGAGGGCGAGGTGGAAAAGGCGGTGAAGGTGGCGACCGTGGCCGTGGTGGTGACCGCAGACGGGGAGGTGCCAGCAGTGGGGCACCCTCCACCAAGAAGTTTAGTGGGAGTAAGTATCAAATATAAGTAAATCATAAATAAAATATTGTTTATTAACTATATTTTTTTTTAGAATGTGACTTGTGCCACGTAAAGGGGCATAAAGTATTAGCCTGCCCAAAGTTGAGTAAGTTTCAAGTTTTCAACACTGCATTTAATATACGTTTTTTAAAATTCCAAATTAATTAATTTTATGATATTTTTGAAAGCGGTCAACCGAGTCTTAAGTCAGAAGAGTTACAACATTTATTTTATTTTTTAAACTTGATTTTTTTGTCTAATTACCTACCAATTACCTACTTACAAAGATTGATTTCCTGACTTCCGAAATCGGAAAAACCTACTATAACGACTTGAGACAGACGACGACGGTAGCGCATCTAGGTATTATTGATATTATTGTTGTATTATTTTTCATTTGTAGCTAGGAGGTGTAATCCAACTATCCAAGGCTGTAGATAAATAATATTTCTGAAGTTACTGTAGATTTTTTCGAAAAAAATTAAATCAGACTTTTTATCACTGTGCTTTTTTTCCGACTCCCAGTTCCGTCCGGCGACCGTCCCAAATAAAAATGTAACTATATGTTGGCTACCCTGTTTTTTGAAAAGGGCTTGACCATTCAGTCATGGTTATAGTCACTAGTCAGTCGCAGAGTACCGGTTGAGGGCTCTGTTCGTAATGTTCGTATGTTTGTTGTTATTTGTTTATGCATTTTAATAAAACTGCTTTAGTAAGTACAATTCGTTTGTCTTCGTTTAAAACCTATTAGTAACATTTTCAGAAGTGGGATCATAAATCCATAGTTCGCGAGTGTAGTTGCCGTTTTGATTTTGTTTTAACACAGAAGACGGTTGGTGCTTATTACATTCATTAGTCGCTACTGGTGTTGCGAAACCACGAGGTTTAGTGGTAATAGTGTGCGGAGGAAGTAACGGTGGCGCATAAGTTGACGTTACGGTGTGTCAATCGATGACTGCATCGCTAGTAGAGCTGATAAGCTGGTTATGTTTACATGTGATAAGCCGTTGTTATCACAAAGATTTTCTTGTCAGTCTTGAGCGAATCGTTTGTTGTGACGATGTCGAGTGATCACGTTGATGAAATTACAGCACCTAAGTATAATGAATTGTACCAATTAGTGAACGAGCAACGAGCTAAACTCAAACAGCTAGAAGATGAATTAGCACTGGTAAATGTGAAAAATGACGAGACACCATTGAACACTAAGACAAATGATGAATCGATAGAGTTTCGTGTCATCCCAGACGTCAATAAGTCAGTGAAATGTTTTACTGGATTGGAACCTTCTCACGTAGCCGAAGATTGGTTGGAAACGATAGAGGGTTTAGCTGATTTGAATCGGTGGCCATCCAAATTTTGTCTACATTTTGTACGTTCGAATATGTCTGATGCGGCACGTAATTGGTTTTTATCGAAAAATTTTGTGAGTTGGTCCACGTTTCGTGAGAAGTTTAAACTAGTGTTCGTACGTGAATTACGCATGGCCGACAAGTGGGACGCTATGCGCAGTCGTGTACAACACAAGGATGAATCACTGATGTCATATTTTCAAGATAAGGTGCGGTTGTGCAAAGGTGTCAGATTACAGTTCGAAGAACTTCGCGATTATGTTCTACAGGGCATTTTATCTCGGGAACTCGCGATGTATGCATTTGGAAGGAAGCACTATGACGAAGACCAATTACTCATAGATATATTGGAGTGGCAACGTCAGTCTGATCGTCGTGGAGATCAGCCAAACACTTCCGTAATTACTAAAGTCGATCATAGTAAGATGTGGTCAAAAAAAGAAACAACAAGTAACCAGGCAGAACCAAGTAAGTTCACATCGACGACACGAACCACTACGAAAACAGAATCACCGACATCTGACTCACGACACAGTACAATTAAGTGTTACAATTGTTCTGGTTTTGGACACATAGCGCGCGATTGTCCAAGACCAAAACGACCAATGAAATGTTCATTGTGTAGCGCCGAAGGACATACTCGGGGCAAATGTCCTTCTGTTAAGCAAGAACATCCTGCCAGAACGTGCCAGGTTGTGGTGGCGGGGTGTGCAGGGAAGAATCCGTTTGGGAAACAAGTGAAAATTAACCAAGTTGAATTCAATGGACTCATTGATTCAGGTAGTACAGTATGTTTAATCCGATCGTCTGCAGCTGTACGGACCAAATTACCAATAGTGTCATCAATCAAACCATTGTATGCTGTGGGTGATATGAAGACACCTAGAATCACTTCATTAGCAGAAGTAATGGGAGAACTGGTTATCGATGGGGTTAAGACGGACAAGGTGCAATTCTTAGTAGTTGAAGACAAAGCAATTCCAGTAGAAGTATTGATTGGACAGTCTTGGCTCAATTTGCCTCAGATTACTTACCACAAACAAGATGACACGTTTGTCGTTGAGTACGCAGATATGGACGTGGAATCAATATGTGCCAATATTAATAAGCATGAACATGGAGTTCAAGTATGCTTGGTGCAAGAACAGTCAACATCAAAAGTGTCACTGTCAACAGATGATGTGATAATAGGCAGTCAGGTTGACTCCACGCAAAAAGAAGAACTAACAGTGTTACTGAATAAGTATCGTGCAGTGTTTGCATTAAATTTACAAGAATTGGGTTGCACGGATTTGGTGACAATGGAGATAATGGAAGAACAAAACAGTAAGCCTGTATCGATGAAGCCGTATCGCACATCCGAACAAGAGCGAAGACAGATAGCGGAAATTACTGACGAATGGGTCAGGAGTGGTATAATTAGTAAGACCAGGTCTCCTTATGCGTCACCAGTCATATTGGTCAATAAAGCAAATGGAAAGAAGAGGTTGTGTGTTGACTTCAGGAGATTGAATAGTCAGACAATATCACAGTCATATCCAATGCCGGATGTAGATTCACAATTGAGTTCATTGTCTGCTGGTAAGATGTTCTGCACTTTAGATTTATCGAATGGTTATTTACAGATACCTTTGGCTGAGGGAGCGAAAGACAAGACTTCATTTATCACTCCTGATGCAGTATACAAGTTCGAACGTATGCCTTTTGGTTTGAGAAATGCTCCAGCTGAGTTTTGCCGATTGATGGACCAGGTGTTGGGAACTCTCAAGAGGGAAGGTGTTGTTCGTTGTTACATCGACGATGTCATTATTCCAGCAACAGATTGGGGAGACATGTGTAGGAAAGTGGAAAGAGTATTTCAAGCTCTTGAACGTGCTAAGTTAACCTTGAACCCAACCAAGTGTGCTTTTGGAGTCACTGAATTGGATTACTTAGGTTTTAATATTAAGGAAGGTCAGCTGCGTCCAGGTCGGAAAATAGCTGTAATTGAGAATTACCCAAGACCAAAAAATGTCCATGAACTAAGAAGATTCCTCGGATTGACAGGATACTTCCGTCGTTTCATAACACATTATGCGGACATTTCTGCACCACTGACGGCTTTGACGAAGAAGGATCTACCATGGAAATGGACGGATGCACAACAAGGAGCATTTGAACAATTGAGGCGTATACTGACATCTGCTCCAGTGTTGAAATTATACAATCACGAATCACCGGTGACTGAAGTACACACAGATGCTAGCGCAAAAGGTCTATCGGGCATGTTAATGCAGGGTGACACTGAGAAATCACTACACTTAGTGTATGCGGTGAGCAAAAGAACAACCGAAGCGGAATCACATTACCACTCCAGTAGACTTGAATTATACGCGATTGTATGGACGTTAATTCGATTGAGGCCATATCTGCTTGGAATCAGATTCACAGTGGTGACTGATTGTCAGGCTTTGGTATATTTGAACACCAACAAGTCAGCAAAGCCACAGGTGGCTCGTTGGTTCGATCTACTACAAGAATTTGAAATGAATATCAAGTACCGATCAGGCGAGCGGATGGCTCACGTTGATGCATTGAGTCGTTTGGAAGGTACTACGGACAGTGTACAAGCAGTAGAAGAGGCATTGGATAATCGATCCTTGGTTATGACATTAATGACTTTGGAAGAACGTGTACGATACATGCAACAAGCTGATCCTGATACATGTCGATTAATCAACATATTGGAGAGGGGTGAAGGTGACCGAACTCCATATGAGAGGAACGCTGTAAATAAATTCAAGTTGTTGGATGGTGTATTGTATCGAGATTTAGAGGGGATAAGTCGTTTTGTGGTACCTAAGCCTCTGAGAAAGGGGATAGTGATAATGGCCCATGATATGGCAGGTCATAGGGCATTGGATCAGACACTAAAGAAAATTCAGGAACACTATTGGTTTTCAAAAATGCGTAGGTATGTACAGATGCATATCGGTGGATGTTTGGATTGTCTGGTCAACAAGAAGCCTGGAGGAAAACAACCAGGAGAGTTACACCCTATTCCCCCTGGAAAAAGACCATTTGCAGTTGTTCACTTGGATCATTTGGGACCTTTTGAAACCAGTTTGAAGGGCAATAGATTTTTATTAGTGTTAATAGATAACCTTACCAAATATGTATTGTTGTTTCCAGCAAAATCCACTCACACTCAATCAGCTATTAGAAGTTTACAGAAGTTTGTTGATCAATGGGGATTGCCGGATCGTTTGATAACAGATAGAGGGACATGCTTTACTTCCAAGGCGTTCCAGGATTACTGTCAACATAATGGGATCAGGCACACTCTCAACTCGTCTCGACATCCGCAAGCAAATGGACAAGTGGAGAGGACCAATAGAACCTTATTGCCAATGCTTGCAATTCAAGCACAAGATCAAAAATTATGGGATCAGAAGCTGAAAGAAGTTGAACGTGACATAAACAACACGGAAAGTAAGACTACCAGATACACACCATTTGAGTTAATCCACGGATACCGGCCTCAGTTTCATTCAAGCGTGCTGAGATTACTAGATGGTGTTGGTACACATCAGCCTTTGAATTCAGTAGAGTTACAGGCCAAGGCAAGAGATAACATTTTGAAAACTCAGGTATCAATGAAAGAAAGATATGATCAGAAAAGGAACAAATCGATAAGCTATGAAGTTGGAGAAATGGTGGCAATGCTGCGTGCACCTACCCCAGGTCAATCTACCAAGCTTCAGACCAAGTATCGGGGCCCATTGCAAGTTATAGGGAAACTACCTGGAAACACATATCGAGTCGCTGAGATGGCAAGGGATGGTAAACACATTTATGCTACAACGGCTCATGTGTCTCAGTTGAAGGCAGTTTCAATAATGCAAGAGGAGCAGCTTGAGGAAAAAGGAAGTGGGTCATCAGCAGATGAAGATGAAGAGACTAACAAATCAAATGCTGATCTACCAAGGGTGGAAGAAACTGTTAAGCTTAAACGTCAAAGAAAACCACCAAAGTATTTAGAAGATTATGTTTAATTAAGTCCATCTAAAGAACTGATTTGTTTAATTTTGTTTAAAATATTAATTTAGTTAAATCCATCTAAAGAACTGATTTGTTTAATTTTGTTTAAAATATTAATTTAGTTAAATCCATCTAAAGAACTGATTTGTTTAATTTTGTTTAGAATATTAATTTAGTTAAGTCCATCTAAAGAACTGATTTGTTTAGATTTGTTTAAAATATTAATTTAATTGAGTTTGTTTTATATAATGACTTATCGAGGTCGATAAGTAAGGGTGGATGGCCGAGTGTTGGCTACCCTGTTTTTTGAAAAGGGCTTGACCATTCAGTCATGGTTATAGTCAGTCGCAGAGTACCGGTTGAGGGCTCTGTTCGTAATGTTCGTATGTTTGTTGTTATTTGTTTATGCATTTTAATAAAACTGCTTTAGTAAGTACAATTCGTTTGTCTTCGTTTAAAACCTATTAGTAACATATAGAAACTAGAAAGGTATAATACTAATTGCGTCCCAGGCATAATATTGGTTAGAAACTTATAAATTTAATATTTAAATTAAACAACGAAGCTTATTTGAATGATTGAATAAAAGAAATTTTGAATCAGGTAGTAGCAGATTTCCTTTTTTCAATCAACACAACGTTAGATAAACTGAATATGCTCGTAAATAGATAACATTTATGAAGTATTAAATATTAATTAATTACATGGTGATTTATCACGACGTTTTTGAGTAAAAATGAAAATGAAAAATCAATATTTACAACAGATTAGAACAGGGGCGGAATTAGGGGGGGGGGTGGTTAGCGGGATAGACCCCCCCCAAAACCAAATTCGTAAGTACGCCACTGTATTAGAATGTTCGTACGAATATTGTTCTGTAAAACGAACGTGAAGTTCATTACTTAGTAACACAAGTCACTAACACAATATTGAGTATTTAGTATTTACTATTTCGGTCTATTGCCGAATTGCCCACCCACCAGTACCGACCAAAGTGTCAAATAGAATAAAAATAAAAACCCTGACGGCTGAGGGGTAATTCCGTCAAATTATGTGGCATGTGCTATGTAACTATTAAGTATTAACTACCAACGGTTCAGTTTATCAGTGAATTCGCCGCGACCGCAGTCCTCACTCCTCAGTCCTCACTCCTCGTGCCACAACCCATTCCCATAGATAGAGTGACAAATGAAATACAGAAACAACTAACACAGCCACACAGGGCGCAGACCGCGGTACCGGCGAGCGTAGCGTACTATGCACTTTGCAGAAATTCAGTTATGGCAGTTAGTAATTAGTATTCTTGTCTATGGTTATGTACTATGCAGTATGCACTGCTGCAAGTTGCAACACACTAATATTGTCACATGAATATTTAATATTAATACACCATTATACAAGATATTCGGATCAAATACTGAACTTGAGACCTACACGGCTACACACCATATGGCTTTATACCTACATGTTTATTATAATTTTAAGTTTTAAAAGTTAATAATTACACGACTGTTATACGTAATCACGTGCCTAAGTTAATAGTTTGGAGAGCTGCATAACAAAACGTGTAAGTACATAATATTGTATACTATAATAATGATCTTAATATATAATATGGTTTTAAGTAAATATTGTACATGTGTACATACCTATAAAATGCCTACCAATTATTACCTAGATGGGTGTTTTTGATAAAAATAATTAAATTAATTTGTTGACAGTGATTAAATAACTAATCATAAGTGTGATTTTTCGCTAGTCGCTCTACGCTTATAAAAAATATATTACATATTATATTATGACAATGACTCACACCAGTCACACCTGCAAATTGCAATCACACCTAGGTAACTAATTACTAAATAAATATATTCAGTAGGTACCTATCTAATTTATTCTTTTTATTTAATTTATTTTGTTACAGTTTGTTTGATGGATAGAATGCTGTAATAATCATCAATATCTTATATCAGAGAAGTAATGAATAATATTTTTAGCCGCTATATTGATGCAATGAAGTTCCTTAATCCTTACTAAATGAAAATAAACACTACCAGGGTAAGTAATTTAAATTAAATATTTATAATTGTTGTTTAGATTAATCACATTTTAATTTAGATTTGTTTGAATATGAGTTCGTTGGTCAAAACACTTAAATACCGAAAATAATTGTGCAGCATCTGATAGTTGCTTTAGTTGCTTTTGGTGAAGTGGATTGGATTAATGCTCACAATATTTATGTTGGATACATAATGACAATACAAAATAGTATAGTAAGTTTATATATAGACTATATTATATTTAAGTTTAAGAGTTAAGCATTATAAATTAGCCATAACTACAATTTAACCTGTTACAATGTGTAGTGTCCTAAGCTTGTACCTAATAATAACTAGATAAATACATTCAATATTATCTTCACAATTTGGAGGCGACAAAAGAAATTAATGTTCTATTAACAATTTCTATTTTTGAGTAGAAGGTTTTTAGTATTTTGTATTTTAAAATTACTTTACTACTACCAAAATATATTGTAAAAATAAATAAATATCTATAAGTTTAGTTATTTAGATTCAAATCGTGCAAACTGCACTATGGATTGAAATTATAAGTATTAATCTGAATGTTGTTGTTATTGTTCATTAACTGTATGGTGTAGTCACCACCCATGGCCACCTTAAGATTTTTTTTTGTTGATTTATTCAATTTATTCTATCTATATGCAAACAAATATGACAGAAACTTGTATTAAAAAAACAAATTACGTAATCTGAATAAATATATAAATAAAATCAACAACTTTTTAACAATATTATAAAATTAATAATCAACACTTGGTAATATTTAAGAGATAGATCTATGGGTTTTAAAATAAATAGAGTTTCATCAATACCACCTATATAAATTCAGAAGTACACATTTTTAATTATTAAGATTTTGTTAAGCGACGAATGAAAAAATGACAAACAAGATATTGGAAAATATTATAACAATGTTCTCAACTTTTTTTTATTATTTATTTATTTATTTACGGAATAAATCCATTTACAATATTAATATATAGTGTACAGTGTAACAAAACATATGATGAATATTTAGTTTAGTGATTACATATTATTTAAACCTAGATATAGTATAAGTATAGTTTACAATATATTAAATATAATTACATTTAGACTAATTACATTTAATACTTTTTATCACCCATTTAATACATTGGTGTTGATGAATACAACAATAACCATAGTATCAAAAAAACTAAAAAATTACACTATTTTCAAATAAAATATAAATGACTGACCAGTGGCTATAGGTGGCGACTCCACCATACAAAAATAATATTATACTTTGGTATAAGTTATTAGAACTTCTGAAACAAACAATAATTATTAATTAATATTGGAAATATTAGAATATTAGAATCTTTTTTTTTTATAGAATTCAACAAAATCAACAATGTCATTAATAGTTTTGTTTTTATTAATATCAATAAAATATGTTAAAACAAAATAAATATTCAAATTTTTAATTAGATAACAACTCTTAATCAGTGGCGCCGAAGTTTTTAAAATGTGGTCGGGCAATTTTAAAACTTCCCGGCCTCAATATCTTAATTATTTAATATAGAGGTACCCTAATATAAATTTATTCATAATCACGGTTTAAATTTACTCATGCTTATAATGAAGTTATGATGTAAATTAAATATGGCCGGCCGGCCACATTTTTCAAAAAAGAGGTCGGGCCACGGCCCGACGTCAGCATGGACTTCGGCGCCACTGCCCTTAATAATACATAAGCGTGTGCACGGGGTGGGCTTGTTCATGGGCTATTCAGTGGTATAAGAATTCTGATTTTTGATTGTCCTATATCAACAAAATTAACAAGATTCTCTTAAATCTATAAAATATGCATACAAAAAATGGTTCTATTTAATCGAGGATAAGATAAATTTTGGACATTATATCACAACCAATCAATTTGGACTTAAGGAATATAATATGCAAATGCATATAAATCCTAGCCCTACTCATGACTAGAAATATATATATTATACCTTAAAATTTAAACAGAATAGATAACAGTGTAACACTTAAAATAATTTTTTTCAAGTATCATTGGCCCACCCTGCCACTACGGGCTGCGCACACCTATGGTTACATACATGTATTAATCTTTGAGATGTTGAGCATATTATATAAAGCCTTTTTCAGTTTAATAAACAAATTAATATAGGTATACCAAAATAATAATGTAAAATGATCTCATTATGGGCAACAACAACTTTAATAAGTTGTTATCCTAAAATGACGTTATAGTTCACGTGTTGTCTCATCAAACAAACTAGTTATTAATATCATGTTAGTATTCCCTAACAAGTATAATAATGCATAATTTGTGACTTTTAGTGTCATAAAATAATATGCATTTTAAAAGGTATTATTCATCAGTATTATATTATAAAATTACATTTATTTTTGTAAAGTATTAATTTTAAAATTATTTTCAGCTTATGTAATTTGAGATTGGATAGTAAAATTACAAGCTGTATGGATGGATCAGAGTCAAATATTGGTTAATGGGATATGTGCAGAACTTGTGAATTGTTGTTCCTTTTTTCTGTGGTCAAATACATCAAGTCACAATGTCACATTATCCATCATATCATATCCTTTTAATAATAACAAAATCATACATTATCATAATATAATATTGTCACAAATGCTATGAATTAACTAATGTTAATTCTGTCTATGAACACAGCTGGTAGAACATGCAATATGTTTTAGTTATAAATTAGTATTCTATAGTTATTTGACTGTAAAATCTCAATAAGTAATGGAAAACAATTACTTTATATCAATTGTATGTTCATTAACTTTGTGTTTTAAGTATAATCAAAGAACTAAATTGAATTTTAATAATATTTTAATAAAAATTATGCCTGGACTTTGAGTTGAATGGGCATATTTATGAACAGAACCGTAGCAGGGTTATCAAAAATTTAACGGTA